TTTTATTTTTTTGCATTTTTTTTAAACAAATACATGACGTGATAAATTCTTATTATTGCTACATTTTGCTAGTAATAAAGCAAATTTAATTGGTTTATTACACTTTATTTGCAAAATAGTATTAACAAGGGAAAGATATGTGTWATAAACAATGTTTTGTCGCAGAATAATCAGCATTGTTTGATTAAACTTTAACACAATTAAAAATATAAAATTAAGAAAAAACATTTAACACTTTAATTTTCCAAATTCAGACTCTAGTATTCACGTGATTCCAGATTTCCAAAGTAATACTGAAATGTTTTAGTTTATTTTCTTTTATTATACCTTATGAAATAATAAAGATACTTTATAGTAAACAAAATTCAGATAGAATTTTGTAAACTTTGATAAACCTGAAAGTGAAAATTCTAGTTGAATTTCAGCTCTTTTAGACTTATTAAAATGGTCGCATATAGTTACAGAAGGTCACAAAAGTGAGTATTTACTACAATCCAGTTGATAAAAATTAAAAATAATAACTCGTAGAAAATTTAAGAAAATAATTCTTAAGAAATGTGGAAAATATTCGTCTGATATAAACAATAATAGATAGATGGGTCATTAAACTTACTAAAATGTAAATAAAAGTTAGACAAGTCCGTAATTTTGGTTTTATTTGAAATAAATTGGAACTTAGTCCAATTTTACAACTTTTTCTGGAATTTATTAAACTATTCGCTTACGTCTTGGAAGCTGAATTTTAAATTGTAACTCTGTTCAATGTTATTTGTGGCTTTTATTGTCAAAATTTTTGTACTTTACTAAATAATTGTAAAAAAAAACAGTATAATAATATACATAAAAAATGTCAAAATTTTTTACAGAGAATTTTTTAAACATTTTTTACATGTTCCTGATTTCTTACTTGAAATTTTTCTCTATGAAATTGAAGAAAAAGTTCAAGCACTATTTTTAATATTTAATTTTTATGATTATGTAATACACAAAATTTTTAATTGGCGATGAATATACGAATTAGTGATTATTTTTAGAAAAAATATACATTTCTGGATTTGAATTTTTTTGTTTATTGCATAATTTTTTCTAATTTTGTTATTTTTTTTATCATTTTAATAAACCAAAATTTTGTGAAAAAATGCTACAGATTGCTTATTAACCTGATAACAAGAAACATATTTCACAATCAWTAGCAAAAAATGAGACTTTATCATTTTTGCACATGTTTTCCGGATAGCATTAGATATTAATCATTTTTTTGGAATTTTCCTCAATTTCTATTTATCGTAGGGTCTTAACTATTATCTAATAAGTCAGATGATTTTTGTAATATAGTTCAAAGTCAAGGCTTGTTGTTAAGAGGAACAA